TTGTAATAATATATTTTTACATAAGATATTAGAATGTAATATTTTTTGTGAACACTTGTTATTTTCAAAAAGGCACGATGAACTTTAAGTAGCATCTTTTATGCAAAACAGTAAGATATCTATTTTAACTTGAAATTTGTTTACATCGATGATTTACAAACGAAATTACATAATAAACAAAAAATTTATTAAACGTAATATTTAAACAAAAAATTAAGTTTAATAATAAAAAATTAAAATTGTTATATATTTAAAATAAAGTTAAAATGCTGAATAATTACGAAAATAATATATTTATTATTAATTTTTTTGTCTCTTTATTTAACATAAAAGCATGAAAAATCTGTAAAATGTATTCTATATCTTTTTTAGAAATATATTTCAAGCAGAAATTAAAAGAATATATTATAAAAAACAACAAAACAAAATATCAAATTTTATACTACACATAAGAAACGAAATAAAATATTAACATAACAAATATTATGTACTTAAATGTAGATTTGATTTCGCTTTTTTAATAATTGTAAATGTATTTATAATAAAGCTTTTTTGATTAAAGTTAAGAAAATATTAAATACAAATACGTTATTTGTATTTCTACACTGCTATTATCAAACATGCAAATATTTTGTTTTTGTAATTCGGAAGTTAATAATTATTAATTCATTATAATAATTTCATTTCATACTAATTTCCGATATGATAATTTGTAATGATTCTTCTTGTGTATCTTCTGTCTGTTTGTTACAATCATATATTAAACCTTATGTTGTAAACGTTAAATATAACGTATTTTTAAAAATATTAATTCATAGCATTTTCATTGATTAAATTAATTGTTCACTGGTCGTAGATTTTCAATTGTGTACTAATTATGTACTAATTGCGTAATAAGAAATTCGCGATTTTTATTATAAATTGCTATTTTCCAAAAGAAATTAATTAATTAAAAATATTTTTCAGTAAAATATATATATATATAATTATCTCGTGTCTGAGATATATCATTTTCTTCGTAAATCCACGACTTGGAGTGCCATTACATCCAATTTGTAGTGTCTTGCTTTCTAAAACAGTTAATGAAATAAAACAGTTAATAAAATGCACACAATATGAATATTCAGGATACAAGCCAAAATTGTTAAATATATTATTAACATTTATTTATTTATTTTACTACTGTATAGTATCAATATTACATTTTTTTTTAATTGACTAGTAGTTCAATTTCATTTCTAATTCATTTTTATTATTAATCATTAAAACTTTAACTAACATTGTTAAAAATGTTATTGAATAGATTAATTATGATATATTTACTGTATATAGTGATGGTTCAGTAGGATGTGGATGAAATCCTGTTTCTCTGCAATTTGCGATAAAATCCAAACCATAATCGGGTGTTAAGATAAAGAATCCTGTTCTGTAAAAAAATTCCATTTCTCATAAAAATTATAATAAATACAAAACAAATTTTAATTTAATTCTAAATTAATAATTAAAAAACAATTACATTTTATTCCTATTTATATATTTTAATATTTGTATGTAGGGAAACTTATGCAAATAAACTTCATAATTGAAGTAATTAATAAATTTTGTGAAAAATAAAAAATTATTACAAAATAAATAATTGTAAAATTTACATTTAAAGAATTTAAAGAGAAAGAATGTATATTAAGGAGATTAGTTCATAATTCAGTTGAATATTTAATGATTAAAACTCTTTGAAGGATTTAGTATGTATAAAATATACGAAATATATTTTTCTTACATACTCATCATATTTCGGTGCACAAACTATCGCTATAGCTTCTGCCATCATCAACTGATAAGCACAGTGTGTGTGAAGATCTACGCTTGATAAAAATGCAGTCTGCGTAGGATGCGTCTATAATATATAATACATAACACAATTATATATATTTAAGATAAACAAATTAAAAATAAATAAATAAATCTTCTTGCAATTTTTCAATAAAGTTATAAATGAACATACAAAGTAAATCTTACGTACATGAATCCAACCGAGAGTGATAAGATTATGCTGATCTTGATAATCGAAGATATCTTCTTCGTTATGTGTAGTACAAGAATCTGGAGTTCCAGTTTGTTCTGGTATCAATAAATGTGTTACCATCAATTTATTTCGTTCCAATCGTCCAGCCAGAATGCCACATGTTTCTTTATTGCTTGTTGTATTGCTGAAAGCAAGCGTCAGAAAGTTGTGCATTAATTTGGTCGGTAGAATAATGTCACGCAAGGATAATCCGTTGCTTGTCAATAACGAAGGTTTTGTAGAACGATCCACTATCGGTGTTTTTCTAAAAACATTAAATATTACAATAAATGTGTGTATTAGTATATATTTATATAGAGAATTTTCCAGCAGAGGCACAAATCGACATAAGAGCCATTCTATTTTTATTTCTTACTGATTATCGAACAAGGACAAGATGACTTTGTGTCAACTTGTGTCTTTTGCTGAAAAGCTCTCATATTAGATGTTAAATTAGATATGTTTTAAACATAAGAAGATATATTTATTTTTAGCATTTTACTATATTAATTTATAAAAATAATGTAACTATTTAATATTAAATCTTATGATATATAACTATTAAAGACAAAGCTTTATTTTATATATAACAAGATTTACATTTCTTTGGAGGTCTTTAATGCTTTATCATCATTTGCAAGATCTATCACAGTTTTTGATGCAATGGAAGGCAAATGTTTTGTCTCCATTGGTACATTTACAGTAATAGCAGTTTTAGCCGCTTTGACAGCAGCTAAAGCAGCCATTTTGTTCCTCTTGTTTTCTTCTTCTTTTTGCCTAAACAAATGTATAATATTATAAAATCAATTTCTTAATAAAAATTATTAATTTCATGTTTTTACTGTAACAAATATACCATATAAGATAATATACCTTTGAAGTTCTTCTTGCCTCAAACGCTCTCTTTCAATCCTTTCTCTTTCTTTCAAATCCTCTAAATACTTATCGAATTCTGCTTGATATTGCTCTAATAACTGTTTCTTCAGTTTTTCAGCTTTAGGAATGACTATTCGTAGAGCATCTTTATTCATTGCTTTATCCTTGGTTGATACATTATTATATTGCGGATGGCTCCTTATTTTATCCACAAAAAGTCTATTGCAATAGGACATATTTAGCAATAAAATTATAAAAATATATTATTTTAGTTAGTAATAAGATAAGTATCTCTTAAAAATATATTAAATTTATCAATCTTTAAAAATGTTTATTATATATAACATATAACAAGTTATTATTAATTATTACCTACGTTATAAATTTCATATATAATGTGAAAGCATTTTCATAACTGCCATCTTGCATATTCATGTCTGCTAATCTGACCATTTCCACTCCTGTACGATAATATCTAAAATTAAAAATATCACATTAAAAAATTAAATAGCTTTTGAAACTGAATATTGGCAATTATTATTACAATATTTAAAATTAAAGACATCACATTAAAAAATTAAATAGCTTTTGAAACTATTTTAATTGAATATTGGCAATTATTATTACAATATATCTAATATTTATAATATTTATACATAAATGTAGTAAAACAATCACATATTTTTATAATAAACATATAAAAAAGATATTTTTTAATTTTAGAACTATTTTACAATCAGACATTCGAATTCTAATTCTTTGTTCATAAAAATCTTTTTTTTAATTTTAATAAATTTAAAGAAGTTTTGAAGTAACTTTTTCTAATAATATTTTATTATATACAATAAATTGACATATGATAAATATATTTCTTACCTTTTAGGCGCAATATTCGGATCAATTACTACTCTCGAAGCATGATCTGTAAGAGCTTTGATTCGTTCCTTAGGATCTATGATACCCATTTCTTTCAAAGACTGATTAGTTTTGTCCATCTTGTAGGTTAGTTTAGTTAAACTTTCAATATTAACAAATGGTTGAAAAATCTTTTCTCAATTTTTCAATATTATAGATCTTTTTCTCGGCATCATTTTAATGTTGAACATGACAAAAAATGTTAAAAAATATTAATTATTTAAGTTCTAATTAAGATCCAAGACCGTACTTGAAACTGCAGTTCGTGTTCTTTGACAAATTTAATAGCAAATTCAATAAGTATACACAGATGCACAATGTATCCGATGAACTGGCAATACTGTACTAGCGCACTCTAGTCTCTTGTCGAATCTTGCGCACTCTCTCTCTCTCTCTCTCTCTCTCTCTCCTTTCTTTCTCTCCCTTTTTATCCAATGCCCTTGAAACCGATAAAGTTTGTTGATTGCAATATAGAAAGAGATGAGAATCTTTATATTCTATTCAATCAAGCTTGAAAAACTTTGTTGTATGACACATGAAACATCTTAATGCCTCAGGCGCCATCATGCGTCAAATTTAAGAAATTTTCAAACTGTGACGTATTTCGTGTTTTTCAATATATAATCATCGTATTTTTTATTGCATATGCGATTGTAATTGCTATGAACTGTTTTCGCAAATGCGACAGAATACTCTGAAAAAAGAAATCTTGTTTCGGATAGCTTAGCTATGACTTCATTGTTGCGTATTCTGGAGTATTCTAATTTTTTATTCGCGCGCGCGCGAGAGAGAGAGGGAAAGCCAAGTGAAGTATAACATACCAACAAAATGTAAACTTCTATAATTTTAAGAGCAAGTTGCTATTATGAGTAAGTGGAGTTGCGAGTTGCATTTCCAGACTAAATTTATAATATTATAGTATACTTATAATATATACATGAAGTATAGCATATATAGTATATACATTACATATATGATTCGCTAAGTATACGAGGGTCGTTTGATAAGTTTAATAAATTTCCATGAGATGGCGCTACAATCCATTTGATGACGCGACATCTCGAAAGATCCACTCTTCGAACCTCTTCAGGCCAAATTTCAGCCAGAAAGGACGCATAATTCACGTTTGGTAGTCATTTGAAGCGAGTGGTTTAGCAGTTTCCGCAAAAATGGAAAAAAACGAATTCCGTGTAGTAATAAAACACTTTTATTTAAAGAAGTGGACAGCAGCGCAGATCAAAGCCGAGTTAAACGAAGTTCATGGGAACTCTGCTCCTGCATTGAAGACCATTTATTTTTGGATAAACGAATTTAAACGTGGCCGAACCTGCACTGAAGACGAAGCGCGCTCCGGACGACCTGTTGAGATTACATTGGATGTCGTGGAAAAAATCCATGGTATGATTATGGAAAATCGTCGAATGAAGGTGCGTGAGATTGCTGAGGCCGTAGGCATCTCCACGGAGAGAGTGCATAACATCCTGCACGAAAAATTGCATGTAAAAAAGCTGTGTACGCGATGGGTGCCGCGATTGCTTACTCTCGATCAAAAACGCATGCGAAAGGACGTTTCAATGCAGTGTTTGGCAATGTTTAAGCGCAATCCGCAGGACTTTTGGCGTCGATTCGTGACTGTGGACGAAACTTGGATCCATTATTACACTCCTGAAACGAAGCAGCAGTCAAAGCAGTGGATAATGTCTGGTGAAAATGCGCCGAAAAAGGCGAAGACTGTTTTGTCGGCTGGAAAGATGATGACCACTGTTTTTTGGGATTCTCAAGGAATTATCCTAATTGACTACTTGCAGAAGGATAAAACAATAACAGGAGAATATTATGCAACGTTATTAGACCGTTTAAAAGAAGAGCTGAAAAAAAAACGGCCAAGATCGTGTAAAAAAGTGCTCTTCCATCAAGACAACACGCCATCCCACAAGTCAACCGTTGCAATGGCAAAACTACACGAATTGGGCTATGAATTGATTCCTCATCCACCCTATTCTCCGGATTTGGCCCCATGTAACTTCTTTCTGTTCCCAAACTTAAAAACTTGGCTCGGTGGGAAGAAATTCTTGTCAAATGAGGAAGTCATTGTCGCCGTCAATGAGTATTTTGCATACTTTGAGACAGCCTACTTTTCCGACGGTATTAAAAAATTGGAAATTCGTTGGACTAAGTGTATAGCCCTTGATGGAGACTATGTTGAGAAATAGCAGATTTTTTCCAAAAAAATGTGTTTTATTTGCTTTTTTACCAAACTTATCAAACGACCCTCGTATACACACACACACACACACACACACACACACACACACACAAAATGTGTATATATATATATATATACATATACACATATATATGTATATATTAGGTTTGCTTCCGCCGTTTTTTTTCCGAAATTCGAGGCTTTATTGTAAAAAACTAGTTATACATTTATGATTCAAAGTATTGTCCATCGTTGGCCACTACTTTCTCGTATTTTTCGGGTAGCGTACGAATCCCGCGTCGAAAAAACTGATCATCTTTTGAGGCTATCCATGAATCGATCCAATTTTTTACTTCTTCATAAGACCGGAAGTGCTGGTCAGCCAGGCCGTGTGCCATTGATCGAAACAAGTGATAGTCAGAGGGAGCAACGTCTGGAGAATACAGCGGGTGGGGTAGGACTTCCCATTTCAACGTTTCCAAGTATGTCTTGACCACTTTCGCAACATGAGGTCGAGCATTGTCATGCTGCAAAATCACTTTATCGTGTCTCTTGTATTGTTTGTTTTTCAATGCTCGGCTCAAACGCATCAATTGCGTTCGATACCGATCGCCTGTGATTGTTTCAGTCGGTTTTAACAGTTCATAATACACTACGCCGAGCTGGTCCCACCAAATACAGAGCATGACCTTGGACGTCAAAATCACCGTTCTTGAAGCGTTGAAACCACTCACGACACGTTCTTTCACTAATAGCGACCTCACCATAAGTATTTGAGAGCATTCAATGAGCCTCAGCCGCAGATTTCTTTATATTGAAGCAAAAAATTAAAATCCCACAAATGACGAGAATTTGGCTTGTAAACTGACATTTTCAATCGAGAATAACTTTATGATGCAGACACAAATCGACTAATGTTTCTATAGGGTTATGTTGACAGATGCCCAAGTTTATTGTATGACGTCTATGATCTATTTATTTCGACCACCACTTACCGCTAAAGCCATCTATAGGAAAACGGCGGAAGCAAAGTTGTACACCTAATATATATATATATACACACACACACATATATATGTTCATTTTACCTAATTCGCGAAGAATTAATTTTAATTTGAGATTTAATGGATCTGTGAATACGATAGAATTTGATATGGACTATAAATTAAAAATTTTTTATTTTATTATACACATAATAAAAATATATATATCAACATCTCGTTTTAATTCTATCTATTAAATATCTATTAAATATCTCAAATTAAAATTTTTATATACATATATATAAAAT